TATGGGGCCACGAAGCGCTGTACTGGGTGGGGGGGGCGCATGCGGACGGTAGCATTGGGACCTTCGGTGGGGCTCCATATGGGGCCACGAAGCGCTGTACTGGGTGGGGCGGACGCATGCGGACGGTAGCACTGGGACCTTCGGTGGGGCTCCCTTATGGGGCCACGAAGCGCTGTACTGGGTGGGGGGGACGCATGCGGACGGTAGCACTGGGACCTTCGGTGGGGCCCCCTATGGGGCCACTAAACGTGTGAGGGCATGCTGTCAGCTTGGCGCGCCGTCCGCGCGGCGCCAGAGGGGGGGCAGGGCGCCCCACCGCTGCCCCACCGCGCGCGGCAGCCCAAACAGCCGCGGCCGGGGGAGCTGTGCTTTTTCTTCGAATCGGGAACTGCATCCGCACAAGGTGCAGAAAACAACGCGTGCAACAGCTGCACACGCCGAGGAAGAATGCCCCCCCCCGGCGGCGCCTCCAGCGCCGCTCCAAGAAAACCGCGCGGATACTCAAACACTTACGTTTGTGCTCACCCGCAAGCCCCTGGCCGCAAAACGACGGCTCTGGACGAGAAGCCGGCCCAGGGAATCGGCTCACGCATCAGACAGATCGAAGCGCTGGAGGTTTGGGGAGAGAGGGCGAAAGGGCAGAGAGCTGCCACCAGCTAGCTGGAGCTGGAGCGGCGTGCGCAGAGGCGCGCCCTGTGCGGGTTACCGCAAGACTTCTCGCATTATCGCGCGCGCCTCCTCGCATTCTTGAACCCGCTTTCTCGCATTTTTCGCGGCGCCTTCTCCCAGTCTCGCATATCACTCAGTAGTGTTATTCTACTGGCGAAGCTTTGACGGCAAAACGTAATTCAAAACAATAAACGCTTAAACGCCAAATGATCGGTATAGCGTTGGACGAATCTCGGCTGGCCGAACGCGAGAACGCGAGCGCCCGCGCGATGCTCCTCGCTGCAAACTGATGCCCCGATGGGGATCACGATAACAGCGTTTGGCGCGAAAGGGCGCGGACCGAATTGCCTACCAATCGCGACGTTGCGATCGGGAACCGCCGCGCCAATGACAACGGTAGCAATGATAACCGAACAAGCGCGTTGGAGCAAGCGGCATTGCGACAGCCGCATCCAAGGCGCCCTTGCGTTCAATGACGCATTGAAGGTCGCGCGACCACGCGCGAGCCCCATGCGACACTACAGCGCGCAACAGCATGATGAGCGCAACACTACACGCGCAAACGCGATGTGCGTGCCTGCGCGCGCTAACCTACGAACGCGTGGGCTCGCGGGTGCGCGCGCGCATGTTCGAGGGCGGTGGCGTCGCCTGAATTCGCGGCGCGGTGGCAACTAGTCGCGCAAAGCTGCAGGTCGCCAGGCGCGCTCACGAAAACTCTCGGGGACGCAAAACCATAATGAAAACCGCGCTGCGCACCCAAAGCGACGCGATCACGCGATACGTACTTTCGCGTGAGACAGCGGGGCGGCGTCGGCAACCTGGCGGCGGGCAAGAACGCAGTAAATTGTGCTGCCGCGTTTGCGAACCCGGGCTTCCCCTTGAACTTTTGCGACCAGTACGGGTTCCCGAAACAGAAGAGCTCCCACTACACCAGGTATGGTGGAATGGCCCCTGCTAATGCTCTGGCGCGCGAGTGGGCCAGGCAGGGCAATTATTTTTGCGCCGCGTGGGCCGACCATGACTGCGAGGAAGGTTATGCACTCGCGCAGGAGGATATCGATGGGCTCGGACAGGACCCGACATTCCTGGATACCTTGCATGCTTTCGCCAGGCCCGCCGATCTGCCAGGATCCATGCTGGATCGGGGTCCACGTGGCGGCGCCGCCTCATGTGGGCGCACCCCTCAGGCGTTTCATGGCCCCAGATGGAGTTCCCCCGAAGGCCCCAGTGGCATGGCCCCGTGGCGGTGCCGCCCATGCGGGCGCACCCCTCGCACGGTCCGCGGCCCCACATGGAGCTCCACTAACGGCCCCAGTGGCAGGGTCTACACGGCGGCTGCGCCCCATTCGGGCGCGCCCTTCGCTCGGTTCGCGGCCCCGCATGGAGTTCCACCGGAGGCCCTAGTGGCGTGGTCCACATGGCGGCTCCGCCCCATCTCGGCGCACCCCCCGCGCAATCGTGGCCCCACTTGGTACCCGCAGCTGCATGTGGTTGGGTGTTTCGCCCGGCTTATCTTAGTCCAGGTCCTAATAAGCCTTTGCGAGGCCCCGCGGGCGACCGCGAGGGGCTCTTTGAGTTTGTTGACATGCGTGGCCGCCCGCCCCTCGGCGCGAAAGAATTAAATTGCGTCGCCTGCTTGCTGCACCAGGCGCGGGGCGGACTTCATTGGCATTGTGTTCACAGAGCATCATGCGCACGTTTGTGATGCTGGCATCGAGGTCACATATTGGAGACCAAAGGTGCCGCGATCACTTCGGCGCCCGCTGCGCGTGGATCCGCCGGGCCACGTACTCTATAAACAAATGTCTTCCTCATTTCGTCATCATCTGCT